AATAGTCACCATGTCTTAATGACAGATACCAAGCCGCTAAAGATATTTGCTAATCTTTATAAAACCATTTGATTATATATTCATCTACACGTGTACAATTGTAGCTATTTCGCCAAAGCATCTGGTAACTATTATCCAAACTTGATAGTTATTACCAAATCCTTTTTTTAGTGTAAGTTGTGTAAGTGTAAGATTTTCAATAGCAGTTTAAACTTGGATTGGAACAAGTTTAAACTCTATTCTAACAATGCGTTTGTTTTGTTTAAACAGAGTTTAAGTTAAAATCTATGTTTAAACTATCATTGAAAAACCGGCTCTAAGAAAACTTAGGCTTAGATCTAGATGAAAAATTAAAGTTGACAGTTTTATCTTTGTTCAAAAGTAAGCTGTTCAAATCTCGATTATTTATTCCTTACATTTATTCGCATTATTCGACAAACGCGAGAATCTCCAAAATAGGATGCTCGAGTGTATTGCTCGTTTGTTTCGCGCTCCAGTTCAGAGGACGCGTGTATATAATTATCCCAAAAGCTGCTCTCACGATACGAGCAACTTTGTTGTTTTTCGCGATAAGTATCTCAATAACGTTGGTAATGTTGCAGCGGCGAATTCGTGAAATTACCGAGAGAGACTGCAGTGCAACCGATCCGTATCGGTGCAGATTTAAGTCCGGCGCGCATGATATATGTAGGCACGGATTATTTGATTTAGTGGACGTGCGTCAATGCGCGAGCGAATGCATTTGATTCGACGTTGATAAAATCATTCCCCTTGCCTGCCGTTTGTTTCGCCGAACGTGAGCCAGATCGATACACGGCAGCACGGCAATATGTTTCCGAGCAAAAATTCCACGTGACAATCGAGAAAAGTATCCCCATTAAAAATTTACTTGGCGATCTAATTGTCGCTGTGCGCGCAAGCGTGCCCTGTAATACCAGGTAAATTTACAATCGACGCTCTCCAATTTGACAAAGTCATTACGGTTCGCTTAATGCGCGCGAAACTACAAAAATCGACAGCCTATTTGCAGACACGATTCTCTCGTACAATTTTAATCACTCGGCCTCCTTGTCGAAAGAAAGAGAAATGACTGATTCAATTTAAATTATAACTGTTTGTTGTCCCGACCATATCTTTTGTACAAATGTATACTGCATGAGTTAAATGTTACTTGTGTTTCAAGTATCTCATAAGTTTATATATCCGCGAATTTATCATAAGTTCATCGTGAGCATCAAATTTATTCAAGATGCGTTCTGAATCCCAGTAAGTTTAGCATTTCAATCAGTAATGTTCGATACAAACAAATATTCGCTTAACGTACTTCATAAAGCCGAACCAACATATTTTTGGATGAAGTTTTGTGATATTTTCGCAAAGAGAATAAATTCTTCTTTCAACTACACGATAATGATCTTTCTGAAAATTTGCGATGAGTATATTTTGTAGTTGTCAAGAGCACACTCTTTGCTGAAGATAAGCTTTACTTTGAAGAAGGGAAGTGAATTGAGCAATCACATTTCTCCTAGCAGTACATTTTTCTCTGTGTATAGCAAAACGGTAACAGTAACATATAAGAATCTTATCGCTAACATTGCAGTACAATTTGCGAAAAAGATGGGTTTCCTTACTATAACTAATGACTTCTCTGTGTGTGATTACACAGTTACAGATCCCAAATACTTTTCCCTCAGTGTGTGCCTTCACCCTTTCGGTAGAGTCGCTGTTTTATACGGACGCGCGCGGCGTAGCGCACAGAGAATCACTGGTTTCGCATTGACGAAAATATCTAGCATCTTAACGAAACTTTACGAACACACGTGTCCAGAATACGGAATTCCTCTCGCGGCATTTTCCCCGGCAACAACGGAAAATCGTCGAGTCGCGGCCGTGCGGCACGGCGAAGTTGGAAGGGAGGATAATTCGAAAGATTAACGAGCTATTTCCAGGCAAAAACTCGAACGACCATTCGTCAACCATAAATTCCGCGTGCCTACAAAAATAAAAATGCGCTCGACTCGCTCTCCCCCCCCCCCCCCCCCCCGCCCCTCCGCCC